AAGTATGTCTATATGCATTGGTTTTGGGCAGTACTTCTCCCTATAGACAACAAAAGCATAACTTATCGATTAGCACCTGCGTTTCCGAAAACCCAAAGACAGGAACTTGACAATTTGCTTGCGTGTTGAGTTGGCAATTAGGCATACACCTGCCTTGATTTGGCAGGTCGAATCACCTGGGTCAGTCCTCTTTGCCTTTCGGTTTTGCAATTACCCCATATTGATTGTCCCAAATTTTGGCTGCGGCCAGTGACGAATTTCGATGGCATGGCTTTCAGCCAGTGCGTAAAGCAAGGGGAGCGTTAAAGGTCAAATTACTTGCACCTAAAAGCGGCAGAACCTCTGGTTCTGGTCAAATATACATCGAAATTTCACTCGGCGGATGCTCAACTCACCGTGACTCAATTGTATAAGCGGCTGACCGAGCTGCGACTTTTGCGTAGCTCCACAATTGGATTGGAAGGCCAGAAGCGAGAAAGAAATGAGCAGAATATACGGATTTGCTTTCATTTTCACTGGATTATTTATGAGCGTTCTGGTCACTTTCGGGTGCTCCTAATTCGTGCCGCATTTCCCTTTCCACGAGGCGACAGCAGCGGTGCGTCGGGGGAAAACTACACTCTTTATAAGCGGTATCCGATCTATTTGGAAAATCTGATTCGCCACCGTCGAACGTCGACCGGGAACTAAGCGCTCCATTGTAATCCAAGCGTTCTCGGGGCTACATGGTGGTGCGGATGCGAAAGCGGGCGACATTGTTATAGCCCGCTCTCTGTTTGGGCCGCTTTATGCCTGGTCAGTTACCTGGGGCAACCAACACTTCCGCGGCAACAGGCACCAGTCGGAAAAGCGCGCCAAGCCAAGCCATTCGCCAGCAATGGAAAGCTTTCGCTGCCAAGTCCGACTTTGTCCCAACTTTTTGGGACAGCAGTAGATTGCTAACTTGCAGATACAATTTTACACAGCTGCCATGTACAAAGTGGCAGTTAAGGCTTCAGTTTGGACCCACAAAAGCTCATTGCACTAAGTACAAAAGCTGGTTGTTACACGAAAAAGTTCTTGGAGAACAAGTAGAACGGTATTTGCAGCTTACCAAATATTTTCCATCATATCAAGACTTAATTTCAATAACCCTATAACAATTAATTCCTATGCACTTATATTAAACAAGTTAAATAAAATAAAATCGAACTTAAATAAATCAATTTACTGGAGCTGTATTGTTTAGTATCAGCATCAATTTGAATACAAAATATATTATTTAAAAGCTTCTTTTTATGTTTATCTACATATGTGAGATTAAAACTGCAATTTCAAGAGACCTTCATACCATTACTTGTAGTACAGCTTTGTAAGCATATCACTACGTTTAAAGCTTGATTAATTAACAATAATTAGCCGTATGTTTAAACAAGTTTCTTAACTTGCTTAGATAGCAAACATGGAAAACAAACTGCCATACATATCCATTGTTATTCTTCTGCCCGTTTTCATAGTAATCATTAACTTACGACAACCTAGGAAAGAGACGTTTAAGTATTGCAGGTGGCCTTCGTGTTGCTAATCGAGTAATTCGAGCACCCAAAAACACACTTGATAAATGAATAGCTATTTAATAGTAATTTAAAGAGGTTTCCTAGAGCAATAAATCCGATTGCTCAGCGACTTCTCCAGAAAACGATGGGCAGCCTTCGCTTTATTGCCTGAGATATTGAATTTTTTCGTATGTCCGACTGGTTTACAGGTGATTTATTGTTAAAATTTGTGAAGACGTACTGAGTAACTTCCCACCCACATATTTTGGCAAACTTGTTTCTTTTGTTCATGTAGCCGCAAAATAAACCAAATACGTCACCCTTGCAAGCAAGGTTTCCCATGTAGGCTTACCAAAAATCCCCGAAAAATACATAAATATTACCTTGTACCTTAACCATTTATCATCGAAACAAGTTTTTTGGTCTAGATGCTTCCAGGAACCAGTCTAAATTTTTGGATCTTCATTGTTCTTATCGGGAATCGCCAAAATTAGAATTTGATTATACGTGTGCTAAGAACTTAGCCCGTCAAATCTGGCCATAATTTCGAGCTGTAGGCGCTTATTAACTCGTGTGCTTCACCTGACTCGTATCTTCTTTGTGTTCAGATACATGATGTAGCGATGAAGTGGCATGAAGTGGCGAAAAACCCACCGAATGTGTTTTTCCACGCCTCCGAGGTTCTTAAAACTCGTTTCGGGTGTCAGGTCCATCATTACTTCTAAAATGCGCTAATTTGTCGGACGTAAAGACTTTTTAAAGGTCACAACTATTACGCAACAGAAAACACGTCTATCCAGAGTGCGGTCCACTGATATTGAAACTACTAAACTTGATCTTGGCAATGTAAATTCTTAGAGATGTCGCTCCAGTTCTAAGCAGTTTCACCAGTAGAAAACATGTATTTTCGACCCTTTCATTTACAACTCGAATCTATAAACTCCTTAAACATCCTTATCCAGCAGCGGACTTCAGGGCTCCGGGGCTCAGTTTCCGGTTCTTGATCTGGTAACGCGCCTTGTAACCATTCTTGTCGGCAGTGTACATGGTCATGGTGTCGGTGTCAGTCTTTTCATCGTACGAGGAGTACATGCCCATGACCACCAGTTGCTCGTCAGGAGTGCCCGGGTTCATAATCACGCCCATCTCCTCGCGCTTGCTGCCATTGGGCTCCTCCGACCTGCAATGGAACGGCACGTTAGTACCGATCCTTGCCCATTAGGCGGGTGGTTAGTACTCACGAGAAGCGGTATCCCTCCTTGGTCGGCACCTGGTTGTAGTACTCCGACATAATGGTGGGGAAGATGTAGTCCAGGAATCCCGCCGAGCTGTGGGCGGCCATAAGGGCCACCAGGGCAGTGAAAAGTAGCTGCAATAGACGATTAGAGATCAGTCTTGTTGTCTAAATCAGAACTCTGCAACTAAATATCCTATATATACTCTCCGACTGGAAGTCATGCTCTTATAACGTGCCCATGCTATTTTTTATACACCACATTTGATTATTGATTTTAAATAGTTAGTTGGCGTGTTTGGTTCTGTTTTGACTCTTAATGAACGGAAATTCTCAGGGGATTTTGTTTTACCTATCACTTTTTAAATAAGATCACTTTTGAAACAAGTTTTAGCACAGCGCTCTGTTGCTGATCACTTTTATGGATACAATAATAAAAATCCAAAAGTTTAATTGCGAAACAGAGCTGCTCAGTATCTGTACAACTTGGCAGCGACACGGGTTATTAGCACAGCTGCATCAATATCAACATCTTGTATTGCATTGACCGCCTTCATTGGATTATTTACACACTTCACATGCCAGCGTAATTGCCGCCCATTGGTCATTACAAAGTCGTAGGTCTGGGACACGGTCGAGGAATCCGGATGGGAGTCGGAATTGGAATCGAAATCGCAATCGGAGTAGGGTTCCGCCCTGGACAGCTGCTTACCAATTTCGCTGAGGCCATGTTGATGCGCGATGAAGTTACCGAGCTATACTAAAGCATATGAAGCGCGCCCCCATATATATAAAAGTTAGGATCTGCATAGATCTTCCAAGCTCGCGACGCGGGCACACACACACCGTGGATAAGTCATATTTTTCTACTTAGTAGCAGCCACTACTTGTAGAGTAAAACCGGTCGCTTCTCGATCCCCGAGTTAGCTGGCGAAAGAAACGCCAACGCATTACAGTAAAATGGTTATATTTATTAATTTAATTTATTGATTTCGAGGAATTTTGGCAATTTTCGCCCTTTGCCAAATCGGCTTGGCGACATCTGCTGTGCAAACAAATGGAACAATATTTCTCGATTTATCAAAATGCGGTTATCCTTGGTCTTGAAGCTGGCGAGACAAGTGATTTATAGAACGCTATTTGAATTTATTCGAGCTGCCAAATAAAACATTGTTTTAATGCTCACAAACTAGTTTATTCTAGTTTATGTATATTATTCAATGATTTCACTTTCTAAGGTGAACACGCTCATTCTGAGCAATTGCATTTCTTTCAGCGATTCACGTTTTTGTTAGCAAAGGTTTCCACGGTTTTTTACATGATTGTACGTTGGAATGAGTAATTAGTTGTAATCAACCATCAATTGTGTTCGATTACTGAGTCATTCTTGCAATTCCATCCCGATTCGTTCACAGGTGATGAACTATTATGTGTTCCTAAGTGGCAATCAAATAAAACTTTAACTCAAACGCTTGCTTTGTACCCATTAATTAAAAACCCATTTTGAGGTTCAATGCTCTAGACACCACTAATATAATTAAATATTTCTCAGGAAGCCAAATAGTCGCCGATGATTGGAATATTCATACTAACAACATACTGAAGCGGGAACTTTTTACTGAATTGTTAGTTTGAAACGAAATACATTTCTAATCTAGTTTAAAATAGTTGACATCATAGTAAACAACGTAAAAGAGTCCAGTTCTCTAAGAACATAACTCAACATAAAAGAATACAAACAAAAAAACTTCAAAATTATGTAGATTTCGTGCTTTGTTTTTTTAAGTATGGGTTACAAATAAGCTTATGTGAACACAAAGCATTGAACTCAAGAAACTCGTCGCCCAAAAGTATGCCTCATATTTTTTGTTACTAGCCCTGCCAATTATATTAGTAATTGACATATTTTTAGTAATTCATAGTATTTTAGTGTTTAAACTTTAAAGTATTCAAGATTCGTAGGTTAGCGTAAGTGAAGAAAGCTGAATTATACGACACTCAGTGTATCTATACATTGTGTATACATCATTTTTACATTTACGACAAAATATTTCAGTAGATGGCGCTACTCAAATAGGAAATTGGTATCTTCATATTGCTTTGTCAAAAATTTTAAATAAATTTATAAAAAACCGCAGTGTTTGCGTTTTTAGTTTTTGCCTTTTAATTGCTTGACTTTTGAACCAAGCACTTTGAACCAACAACCTACATTACAAAATAAATGAGCCAATCAGAAAACTAATTTAGATGGGGAAATATATATTACATTAATTTATAACCAATTAATATTTAGAGCACCGCTTGGCAAAAGCGCTGGACAAAAGCGAATGGCCTAGACCTCCGATGGTCAGATGTCGACACGTTTCAGAGGCGTCTTCATAATGCAATCCCACATCCCGCTGCTAGGATTCCTGGTCATCCTACTTGGGATCCTAAGTCGCGAAAATGTCGACGCAGCTGGACTTCTATCCTCGTCGGCACAGACCGAGGGATGCCAATGCTCCCTGACGATGTCCTGCAGCTGTTGCCAGCGTGTTTCGGTTGATCTGGTGAATCAGAACAGTACTGGTACGTAGCTAGGACACCTACTTTCCTTACCTCATTAAAATTCCCCCTAAGTCTGCGTATCCTTGGGCCTCGGCTTGACCAGTGGAACCATCAATTTAGGGGCCACAATGGATGGGAATTCGGTGGCCGCGTTCTCCATCAGCACCACCCAGCCACCCACATATTGCATCCCTGTGGTCTCGATGGTTTCCCTGGACATGTGCATCAAAGTTGGCATCAAGATGGCAGGAGTTGCGGTCAAGGCCTGTCCCACCTTTTATACCAATTTTGCCACGAGCCAGGTCGTGAGCTACGACTTTCCCTGCATCCAAGTGGGCATGAATGGAGTTAGCCTGGTCTAGCATCCATATGCGACACTAAAAACACAGTGCTCCTTTCAATTTTTTATTCTTTATGCTCTTCGTTAGGTTTATAAAATGTTCAGCAGCTAGCCAGGAAAATCGCTATATACAAATGTTACTGGTCAAATGCACAGGATCCGCAGATCGATCCAGGATACACAGCATTCGACAGCTAAGCTTAACGAGTAAGGCTATTAAACAAAAACAAATGTTATCGGTGAAACCCATCAGCCCAAACCACAAGAGAAAAATGTACAATAAACTTACAACTGAAGATCACAAAGGACTCCTAACCACAGAGGCTGGTCTTACGAATTCTACCAATTATACATATTATGTTGGGTCTTCCTATATTGAGGTAAGCAGCAGCTAATCTAGGCATCGCATCGGGATTCTTTTCGAGGGCACTTGGAGAACTGCTGCCAGTGCACCCAGAATTTGGATCAGTTCGCTCGTAATCGCTCGTCACCTTCTTTATCGGTTATATCAACTAAAACTATGCCTGGACCAGGCCACTCTGGTTGCCCAAACAGCTCTGCGGGTTGGCCGGGCCAAGCGGGGCTCCATCGCCTCCAAGGGACGCAGACGCGGATGAGGCGGGCACATCGCTCACGATCGCCTTGCACATGACCATCCTGACTCCGGCGAGGAAGTCCGAGAGGTAACATCATGTGGGTCGTGACGGAGCCGGCGGTTTTCGCTCCAGGGAGGAGGATTGCAGCACGGCGGGAGGTGGTGGTGGCGGAGCACTCCGCATCCTGGGCACCGGCTTCTGGTCCTTGCTGGCCATGGCCAGTGAGTCCCTCAGCACCTTTGGCTGCGTCGTTATGACCTTTGGTATGGTTCCCAGATGCTTCGACATGGCATCCGCACCGCCCTCCAATCGCACCGACTCGATGGACGAGGAGACCCGGCTGTTGCCCTCCTCGTCCATCTCGTTGCCATTCTCCATCTCGTCGTCCTCATCCTCGTTCTCCTGATCCTCGATCAGGGCGCGGAACTCTTGGATCGATTCGTTAAGCACCCACAGTTGTGACAACAACGAGAGATCTAGTTGACGCAGTCCGTTCTGGAATGAAAAGATGAGAACTAGATTAGAAATGATCCATGATACTTTGAAAGTTACTTAGTAATGCTAAGTGTGGGTGTAGCTTTTATAGCCCGCTGACTTATCTCTGCAAAATAGTTACTTTGCTTGGTATTGAATGTTTGGCTTATCCGAAATATATATCGTCTGGCCGGCCATGAATAATCCCAATATCCATGTCCTCTCTAAGTTTTGGCCTGTATTTGCGTGGCATGACGCTTGTGGTCAAAATGAAAGTTCCCCTGTCGCTGTCGAGTAGGAAGGAAAAATCTCATTTGTCAATTAATATCGCGGCATAATATCGCGCCAAAAGAAAAGCAGAAAAACTTTCTGCAACAGCCGCAGCATCGTGGTATTAACCAAATCCGCTCAGGCCAACGTTTTCGCTGAAGACCAACTCCCACCTGGCCTACTAATGCATTCGGATTGACTGCGAAAGCAAATTAAAATTGACTGACTGCCATTTGAGTAGCTGAATATTTGAATAAATTAAAACATTGAAGTATTCAAATATTTATACAATTTTTATGGCCATAAGTCAACTGAAGAGCTTTCCCTTTGCGGCCGCTGGTCCGGAAAAAACCACAAAACTCAATTTTCCTCACTTCCGTCTAGAATACGGTTAGCAATTAGTCATTTGAGGTTTCTTCTTCAATATTCAATACTTCTGCAACGGCTAATTTTCCGCTTTTCCTCAACTTTCCCAACAATGAGGAAGTATCTACGTGTATCTACGTTCTCCGCTGCAAACTGCCCATCTAAGTTTCTTCTTTTTACCCATTTGCTGTTGGCCATGTTAAGTGTGTGCCAGTTTTTGCCAGATTAATGCCGGCTGCACAAAACCTTTCGGCTTTTCGCCACTTTTGGCGGGGGCGTCGCCTCGGGTCGAATGTGAATTAGTTGCAAATTAACATACTGGCAGGGTTATCCGTGGCAACTCGATCTAAATGGAAGTGTGCTAATGCCATTAGCCAGCTTGGCCAGAAAGTGCAGATCGCACTTGCATGTGGGCCAATCAGTTGATAGCCACCCATTTTGATTAGAAGTGATGTACTTTTGGCATTTCCTTGTCGGCAGCTCTCACTTCCTCTGGATTTTGGAATTCGACTGCAGTCATAAATCGAATCGATACGTGTAGTTGACAATTTAATTAGCCCTAAGCCCTTTGCGCTAAAATTGCTTATTGAGTGGAGGTAGAAGGCACAAGTTTGACACAAGCAGAAGCCCTAGAAGTATCTTTAAGTGCAGCAGCGCCAAATGGCAATGAACGCTGCAAATGCCAGACAAGGCTGCCACCGCCCTGCCGCATAAATCAGTGTATATATAGTTGCATATGGACACACGGATCTGCCCAAGATCCAAGATAAATACTGGCGCGTTCTATCTTTAGCCGCGAAGCCATTCAGCTCACATCAAACATTTCTGCACCGATGCGTGAACTCCGCCGTCGAAAAGGTGCCGCTTTCTGCGAGAAATGCGGAAGATCAGGAAACGGGCAGGAATTTCAGCAATTAGCTGGGGAATGGAGCATCCCAGATGCTTCGCCATTTGGCGCTCCACAGATTTGCTGGTGCCATCTATCGACGATTCGTGATACAAAATCATATCGGTAAGGCTTCTTCGCTCCCTTTTATGTGCGTGTATATCCCCCACGGATTTAATTAACTCGAGGTAGGCAAATGAAGCAACCGAGGCAGCTTTGGATTGCAGAACGAATTTGTATCTTTATACGAGTATCTGGCAGAGGTTGGCGTGTCATGTTCGCGGTCTGATAAACTGAGCTCGGTTCGCATGTGCCAAATAAAGTGGAACAAGTGAGAAGCGATTAGCCACAAATGGGGGTATTTCTTGGCCAAGTCTTTTTCAGATGCGAGATTCGAAATGCGAAACTCGAGACTTGAGACTTGGCCTAATCGGCAGCCGACGATCTTAGTGGCGGAGAAAGAATGCCGGCTTTGGCGTTCAAGGCCGTTTTATGTAAGCCGTAAAAATCCATTTCATGCATTGATGCATTTCTTCTCACAAACTGTCCGCTGGCTCCTTAGTTACTTAGCTGCCTTCTTTTGCTCTTGCTGCCCATTTTTCGTTCATAAATTTAATTTGCTGCCATAACCGAGGTATCTGGCAACATAAATTAGCTGAAGCGGACCCGCATTGTTGCTTGCTGCCAGCTTGCTTACTTGCTCACTTGCTTACTTGCCCACTTGCCCGATTGCCAAGTTGCCAGCTTGCCAGTTTGTGGATTGCCTGGCTTAATGGCTGCGCATGCGCTGATTAGTCGTACTCCTGTTTTCTCCCATTGTGGCACGACTCGGGCTTACTGCTGGCCGATGCGTTGTGTTGCATTAACCGGGTTTATTACTTCATTTCCATCGCTGCTCGCATTAGAGATGGTGCCGCTGATGGCGCTGGGAATGGCAGCTCAAACAATTGAGCGTAATTTGACTTGACAATCATCTATTAATATGGTTTCCAGCTCTGCGACTATGCCCAGGAATAATTGCAACTGGGGTTACAAGATCTATACCCGAAATACATACAAATTGTAGCTAATCAAGTTGAACTCGTACAAACATCCGTTTCTTTGTTTAGCCAAATGTAAAATCATTAATTGTGGGGGCAAAAGCATGCTTCTGCAGAATGGATAATCGCATTATAGGTGGCACGTCAAAAGGCCATTGTGCCTCCGACTGAAAGCCGATCTAATAACCCAATAATAACCTACTACCGCACTGACCTTCGGCAAATATTTACTTTCAATTCGTGTACAGTATATCGAGTGAGTAAAAGCGGCTTTATATCAAATACGGGAGTGAGCGAACAATGCATATCAGTATCTTGGGTTCACCAAGAAGGCTAACCACTCAATCTCTGCCCAGTTCGGCATTCGAAAGCAACAGCAAAAGCAAAAGCAATGGCAAAAGCGGCCAACTAGCATAATTGCAAAATGAAAAACACATTCACACACCGGACCCATACCCATACCCATATCCATACCCATACCCATACCCCTACCCATACTTACTGGCTTACACACCCACCGAACTGAGCGATCAGAGAGCTTGAATCGTTAATCAACCGACCGAGACCGAAACATTTGCGAAAACCAAGGAAAGATAGTTCAGATAGGTCAGCACAGCGATACCCTAACAAATGGTGCTGGTAATTAGTTAAAAAATAAACCCAAAATCACTTCCCCATTGAATCGGATCTATTTTTCCAAGAAGCGAGTGTTTTCCTTCGAATGGCAGGGGCTTATCTCCGCCCGATGGCATTTCGGCCACATTTTTGCGGCCCAACGTGGCCCGAAAGCGACTAAGACCCGGTAGAGTTAGATAAACAAAGGCCCGGCGATATTGTGGCAACGAATAGATTCGAATGCCCCGCAGAAATAACACACAATCGCAAATGGTTGGGCAAATACAATGACCAATTAAAGTGTCATTGGATTTGGGCTTTGTGGTAGCGAAAAGGACGGGCTAATAGAACCACTCGCGTGAAATGCGTGTAACAATCATATTACGAGGTAATATGAGGGTTGGTTGAGGGGTACAGGAAATGTGGCCCACAAATAATCCATTTGCGCCCAAGAGTCTCGACCGCCATATCGTCTTAAAAGCCATATTGCACAACAGCAGACATGCAAATTGCGCAAAATGCTTTAAATGGTGCACAATTTAGTATTTATTTCCAATTGTTCAGCGCCGCCGCCACAGATCGACGTCCAAATCGGAGCAGCACGAAAAGTCAGCGTTTTTACTCAGAAGACATCGCCTTTGATTTGATCCGAGGCAATACCGCCGAAGTGGCCGCTCCTAACTCAAGGCTCACTGGTACTTACTGGGGTACTGACACCTACGCCTAAGCGGGCATTAAACAGGTTCTTACGACCATAATGCCATCGAATCTATCTATATGTATAAATATCGAGCCACT